ATTTCACAGAGAAGCACCTGCTCTATGCATATTGAATCTGGACATTCAACTCATGAAATCTAAGCCTCTATGATAAGAAAGTTTACTCTTTTTTCATTGCTAGGGGTGTGCCATTTCTTAATTCTGTTATTCATACTAGAAACAGAGTATGGAGGCTTTAAAAGAAGAGATTATTTTAAGTGTTTCTCATACTTCCCAGTGGCTATTTCTCCTCTCATGAATAACCTTCAGTTGTTCTTTTTCTCACTAAGAAATTATTGAGGACATGCAGCAAGGTAATGGCTGATGAGTTTTGACTTGGTAATGAACAAAGTTGTTTATATAACTTTTGAAGGCACTTTGTTGTGCAAGTCTATATTTAGCCCTTAGTTTCTCCATAGGGGAATATGTCACATTAAGTACAAAGGGAATTTTTGTAGGTGATTAAATCATTTATTTCATCAAGCATGTTGCTATTTGATTCAATTATTCAAGTCAGCTAACTTTAAGCACCTACTATCTATCATGTAGGCACTGGAGATATAAAGATTAATGAGACTTTAGAGATAAAATGTTGAATGAAGTCTAAGTTAGTTACAGAGTTAAGGACAACAAAACTCTAGAGACTTAACTGAGTTTTATACTTCACTGGTAAATAAAGTCCACAGACTATAAATATGTGTCTAATTCTCACAAACAAGAGCAAGTTGACTGAGACTAACACAGGACTCTAAATCCCCAGGTCAATACTACACCAAAAAAAGAATCCCTAAAATAGCCCAAGCAACTCTGTGTGTGTGTGTGTGTGTGTGTGTATGTATGTGTATACCTGAATCAGCAGGAAACCAAACATTACTGCTGCAGACAATGCCCCAAATAGCACTCTACCTCATTTATTGGCAAGAAACACCAAATTAGAATATCAATGTTGATCCCACAAACTACAAAAGGTAAAAAATAAGAACATTATCTTTTTAAGCAAAACGTAATGAAGAGGTAAGATTTACTGAGCAATAACATCTAAGTTTTACTGAGATGGCAATATAGAAAACCTTTGGGTTAAGAGCTCATAACACACATACACATTGCTTCATGTAGACTTTAAACAGTACTTTTAAAGCATCCTCTTTGAATAATTTATTTTCTTACCAATGGTAATATTTAACTGATTCAAGCCATGATTACTTAGTAATGCATACCTATACTGTGTAACATATGATACATATGTTATATATTCATTATATGAGATCATCAGATGACAGGGGCCAGAAAATAATTTGTAAATAATGGTTTAGAAAAAATATGAATAAACTTATATCTATGCTCCAATAAATCTGTTTTTAACATATCTCTAAAATGACTGTGCATACTCAGAATAGCTATATTCTTATTTCTAGTTTTTAAACTTGTTTTTAAACACTAAATATAGTATATAAACACATGCCCTTTGTAAAAATAAATACAAGTAATTTCTAAGCATAAGACAAATACATTTCTTATTTAAGATGATTCCCAGGACATGCCTTTATCTCTTCCTGCTACAGAGACCCAATTAATAATCGTAAAAGAATAAAATACAAACTCAACCACAAAGTAACCTGATGCATGAATTTGTATTTGGGAGCAACCAGGAGATGAGACAGAGGAACATGTTTCTAGAAGACAGAAAATAGGTATGAGTGAAGTGTCAGATAACATGGGTTCTGTAGCCAGCAACCATGGCCCTTTCTTATTAATAAAATCTTGTATGGCTGGCATCATATACTACTTCAGGGATTAAACCAGTATTTACCTAATTCAATGACTAACAGTAGTTGCCGTATTCCGATTTACCAAATATTCAGTTTTAAATCCTTTCTTGCAGCTAAGGCTGGCCACGTGATGCAGTTCTGATAATAAAATGCTAGAGAAAGTAAGTTAAGAAACTGTAGCACAACTTTTGCCTTCACAATAAAAAGAAAGAAATATATGAGGAAAGTCTTTTGCTGTCTCCCTACTTTGGATGCTGTCATGTGAGTATATGAATGTGTGTAGTTGTTGCCATCAACTTGTGATCATGAGAAGAAGACCAAAGAAAACAAAGTATTGCGGGCACAGTGCCTTGGCATCACTGAAGTGCTGAACAAATGCTGGCCTTGCCTACTCCCAAATTTTGTTTTCTAATATAATGACATTAATGTATTGGATAAACCAATGCTATTCAGGTATTTTGTAGCCTGCAGTTAAATGTATGCTGGTGGTTACTGATGAACCTTGAAGGGAAAGCAGAGGGAACATGGAGTATATGTACAAAGAACAGGAGACAAGGAGACAGCAGGTGTCCTGGAAGAATACTAAACAGCCTCTTAGTTAAGAAACAACAGGACCACAGAAGACAGAACAGAAAGTGGGTGACTTATGCTGATGGTAGGTATGAGACATCCCTCCCTCCATGTGGCAGAATAGTCTGTAGCCAACCGTGTATCTGAGGATGGTGGAGGGAAATGTCAGTGGTTCTTTTATAAGGCAATTGAATGAGAGGGAGAACTAGGACAGTTAAGAGAGATGTCAGTGGCCTAAAGTAAAGCCCTCCTCATTCTGGTATTTAGAGAAATATGAGGACAAGCTCCCCACCTATTTACCCTAAAGAAAAACTTTAAATTAACAAATTCTGCAACATTACCAGAGTTTCTTGTCTTTAAATGTGATTGGACATCAATAGATTACCGAAAGAAAACATTCAACGCACCAGAGAAAGACCTAGAAAAAGAGAGAAAACAATGATTCCACAGTAAAGAGAAAGAGTTCAGAAAAGAGAAAATAAATTCAAATAAAAATTTAGTAAGTATAAGGATAAAAAATAAAAACAAAACTAATTTTTCTTTTCACTTTGTATAGCTGTAATATGACATATTTTACACATATAATTCATTAAAGCATACAATTCAAATATCTTTAAGTAAATTTACCAAGTATGAAACCATCGCCACAAATCAGGTTTCAGAATATTTTCATCACCCAAATAAGATTCCTGTGCCCACTTACTGTTAATTCCCTTTTCCATCTTTTGCCGCAGGCAACCACTAACCTGTTATCTGTCTCTGCAGATTTGTATTTTCTGGATATTTTACATAAACGGAATCACACAGTGTGTGGCTTCTCATGTCTTACTTCTTTCATTTAACATTCTACACAAGATTTGAAACTGACACTTAGATTTGTTTGCCATAATATGGCAATCATAAATCATAATAATATGGCATTAGTACTTTAGGAATTTAATTTTGGAGTAGTATTCAAAATGCTTCTTTTAATTACCTTGTTTATATTATAGTAGCAGGTAAATTTCATGGTATGGTAATTTGCTTTAAAATTGACCAAAATAGATTTGTTTTCCTACACACACACACACACACATTCAGGCACAAAAACACGCAAACATGCAGACTCCACAATATTATTTAGCAGGTTTACAACATTACAATCTCGACATGAATGACAGCAGACAGCATAATTGATGGCTTAGGTGACATTTCCTAAAATGCTCTCTATCTTCTCAGACTGGTTCACATGTCCTTCTCTAGTATTCTTGGAGTTTGCATATATGTGACATTGTTCTTACCAGATTGTATTCAAATGAACTCTGTATTAATATAATGCCTCTATTTACTATCAGAATGTCATATGAAAGTAGATATGTTTGATTCATATTTTTAGTTCTAACATCAATCAAGTACATAGTGTCTACAGCATGATTTATTCACAATGTTTGTTAACATAAATAGGACTTCTTTAAATTAGCTCAAGAGTGTGAATTTAGACATTTAATATTATATTTACTGTATTTCCTTTTGTTAGGTGACTAAATTGTAGAAGTACTTCTATCATTTCTTTTTTCAAATTTGTTATTTTGAAGCTAAATGTTTAAATTATTTCCAAATTAAAAATAATCAAAGCCTACGGTAGTTCAAATCGTAATTTTTGGAAAACAAAATGGAAAATTATCTCAATAGCTATATAACTTCAGCTGGCCAATAATGAAATCCAAATTTGCAAATGTTTGTTTACCATATTTTGGAAATCTAAATTTCCGTAAGGAATTACCCTTAAAAGTCATTTAAATAGAGAGTCCCTCTGTACATGTGGAATATAATTTTCTTCATACTGATCTCATTGGGAATATACAAACTACATTAGACATGCCTATAATATATCTAAACCTCTGGTCTAGCTTTGTTTGATCATAGGACTTTCTAAGCCAATGTTTGGACTCATTTTGGCTTCTGTCTAGACTATACCGTCTGCTTTCTGCCTTCCAGAGTTCATAAAATCTTCTTTCTAAATCATCACCCCTTTCTTTTTTCAACTCTTTTGTGGACGGTTTATTCCATTTTCTGCATCTCTTTTGTTTCTTTTTTATTTCTTATTTCAGGGAATTGTAGTGGGAAGGATAAGGTATACTGTGTTTCAGCCTTCCATTTAAACCAAAAGTCTCAACTGATTTTTTGTTTCGTTTTGTTTTTTGTTTTGCTTTGTTTTTTGTTTGTTTGTTTTGACATGGAGTCTCTGTCACCAGGCTGGAGTGCAGTGGCGCAATCTCAGCTCACTGCAACCTCTGCCTCCTGGGTTCAAGTGATTCTCCCGCCTCGGCCTCCCTAGTAGCTGGGACTATAGGCGCCCACCACCACGCCCAGCTAATTTTTGTATTTTTAGTAGAGACAGGGTTTCACCATATTAGCCAGGATGGTCTCGATCTCTTGACCTTGTGATTCACCTGCCTCGGCCTCCCAAAGTGCTAGCATTACAGGTGTGAGCCACCGCAGCCGGCTGTCTCAACTGTTTTTTAAAAAAGAACATTATTTTAAGATTGAGTGTTGTCAGTTGGATACTTTTAATTGTCAGAAGGAATTTGCTGATATAATTAAAAATGCTGCTAATAATTGTTTTTTCACACCATGAGACGTGTCTTAAGTTGTGGGAAGCCTTAATGGCTTTTAAAAGAAAATGATCAAACAAGTCATTCTTCTTTGTTGTTTTTGTAGAGATTTGCCTGCTGACCAAAGGACGTCGTACTGCCAGTGTTCGAGCTGATACATATTGTCGTCTTTACTCACTTTCTGTGGACAATTTCAACGAGGTCCTGGAGGAATATCCAATGATGAGGAGAGCCTTTGAGACAGTTGCCATTGACCGACTAGATCGAATAGGTACTCTAGTTTTCTACCTTCTTTATATAAAATTTAGTTTTAATCTCATGGCATAACATAGGTTTGCAATTATAAGTCCCAAATGCGGCCAGGAGTGGTGACTCATGCCTATGATGACATCACTTTGGGAGGCCAAGGCAGGTGGACCATTTGAGGTCAGGAGTTCGAGACCAGCCTGGCCAACATGGGGAAACCCTGTTTCTACTAAAAATACAAAAATTAACCGGGTGTGGTAGTGTGCGCCTGTAATCCCAGCCACTCAGGAGGCTGAGGCAGGAGAATTGCTTGAGCCTGGGAGGTGGAGGTTGCCGTGAACCAAGATGGTACCACTGCACTCCTGTCTGGGAGAGAGAGTGAAATCTTGTCTCAGAAAAAAGAAAAAAGAAAGTGTCCAACATGCCAGTTTATAGCTTACTTGTTAATTTGTGTAGAAATAGCAATTAGCTGTAGCCATATTTCTTGAGAGATCTGTGTCCCTATCTATCTCTTCTAAGTATTCTAGGTTTATTTATTAATGTCTATTTTTACTAGCTAAACAAACTGATTTCCCAACTGAAGCCAAAACAATTTGAAACTTCAGGTAAAAAGCAATGATAAAAATTCTAGATAGCATTGAACTAGAACGAAAACTATGATAATATGAGTCTATATTGCAAACTAAGTTTTAACACTTTTTTTGTATTTTGGGGTCAACTTTACATTTTATCTATATATTAGGAATTGAAAATTTGCACATTTAAAGTAGTCTCAGCAGAGACATAGTAAAATGTTTGTAATACAGACTCAAGCAGGAAAAAAAAGCCTTGATAGAAATGCCCTACGTAGATGCTTTAGCTCGCAAACATCAACATATTTTAAAGTCTTTTCTGCTACCATATATATATATATATATGCTATTTTTTTTATATATATATATATAAAAAATATACGCCCAGATAATATTTTGTATTTTTAGTAGAGATGGGATTTCACCATGTTGGCCAGGATGGTCTTGATCTCCTGACTTCATCATCCATCCGTCTCAGCCTCCCAAAGTTCTGGGATTACAGACATGAGCCACCCCAGCCTGCAGTTAATTTTTATAACAATATTTACATGAAATGGTTTGTAATCAATACTGGCAATGTGATTTCTAATAAGCACTAAAAAATTGAATTTTTGATCTTTATAAAATTATAAGAGTGTATTAAAAGTTACATTATTTTTCCCAAGATTAAAGATACTTAGATTAAGATATTTTGACTAATCACGTAATCAGAAAGAAACATTATGCTTCTCAGTTTTGTGGCCATTGCATATAGATGTAAGCTGCAGTTAGTTAAGCAAATATGCTAAATAGTATTTATGTTTATTACTAATGTAGGAGATTTTGTTCTTTGGGAAATTAGGACAGTCTGTAAGTAGGGAGAGGTAACTATTTATTCTGGCAGTCATTTAAAATGATTGCATTCCCAGCAGTCAATGAAATTACAACATATATTTATTTTCAAAAATATACTTTGTTACTTTTAATGTGTTACTTTATTTAGCAGTATTGCAAATTGATTCACTTTTCAGTTACCATATTCACTTGCCTATTAGTGTATCAGTGATACCATAGAAAAGTCACTACTTTCCCCTTCTTTCACCAATCTACTATTGATTGTAATCATTATTATGCCAGAGACTGTCTAGTATTGCAAACCACTCAGAAGGTGATGGCAGGAAGAGCTAAAATGTGTTGAGGTATTAGAGGGAGCCTGCAATGCACTATGCCCTTGGTCCTCACAACAACCATTCAGAAGAGGAAAGATCATAAAGTCGGTCTCAATCTTGGCTGCATTTAAGAATTTCCTGGGGAGGCGGGGCGCGTTGGCTCATGCCTGTAATCCCAGCACTTTGGGAGCCCAAGGCGAGTGGATCACAAGGTCATGAGATCAAGACCATCCTGGCTAACAAGGTGAAAGCCCATCTCTATTAAAAATACAAAAAATTAGTGGGGCATGATGGCGGGCGCCTGTAGTCCCAGCTACTCAGGAGGTTGAGACAGGAGAAGGGTGTGAACCCGGGAGGCGGAGCTTGCAGTGAGCCGAGATCCCGCCACTGCAACTCCAGTCTGGGCAACAGAGCGAGATTCCGTCTCAAAAAATTTAAAAAAAAAATAAAAAATAAAAAATAAAAATTAAAAAAAAAATTTTTTTGATAAAAAAATTAAAAAAATAAAAATAAAAATAAAGAATTCCCTGGGGAAATTTGCTCTGGGAAAATGAATTCCCAGAGCCCATGTCTGATTATTTATATTTAATTGGTAGGGAACAAGTGGATGTTAGTATTTTTTAAAGCTCCAGAGATAAGAAAAATATCCAGCTAGGACTGAGAAGGACTGGTGTAGGACCCTGGGTCGAAAGCAAAGGCGGCCCTGATACAGTCCGCCTCAGATTTGCATTTGGGAATCACCTGCGGATCTTAGTAAAATGCAGCATCTGATTCAGCGAATGGGGTCACACCCAGGAGGCTGTTTCTAGCAAGCACCCAGATAAGACAGAAGCAGTTGGTTCATTTTCCATAGCAAGGATGTGCTATCACTTTTTTGTGTGTATGGTCTTTCTCAGCCCTGTTAACCTGCCAACCATGTTTTCTTTGTTTTCTTGGGCACTGTTCTTATTCTTCTCATGTCCTGATATCCTTTCAGGTAAAATGAGATTATGAACACACCTATCTGACAGGGTTGCAGGTTACATAAAATCATCTACCTAAGGTCTTTTGTAGAGAGCCTATCACACAGTAAGTGTTGAAATGTTCTCGCTTATATCTCCATGGTCCTTTCTTGAGAAAGTAACTTTAAAATCAAATGTTGATTCCAAGCCCATCTTATTCCAAAAACCCTTTCTTCCCCCATTCTTCAAGGTGGCCCTCATATTAAATATCTCCTTGTCTTCTGTAAAGTGGCTCTTCCCCATATTACAGGCCGTTCAACTTGAGTAGAAGGTAAGAGTTCCCAGAGAAATACAGGAAGTGTGAAAGGTAGGAGCGACATTGGTATTTGGTGTGTAAAGGTGAGTGACTGGCTTTTTAAACCTCTCCTGCGAAGCACAGCTATACTTTTGTTTTCAGGAGCCACTCTTACTTGGCGTTGTCTTCAGTCATTGGTAGGCTTTCTAAGTTCCTATCTTTCTTTTGCTGACAGGAAAGAAAAATTCAATTCTTCTGCAAAAGTTCCAGAAGGATCTGAACACTGGTGTTTTCAACAATCAGGAGAATGAAATCCTCAAGCAGATTGTGAAACATGACAGGGAGATGGTGCAGGCAATCGCTCCCATCAATTATCCTCAAATGACAACCCTGAATTCCACATCGTCAACTACGACCCCGACCTCCCGCATGAGGACACAATCTCCACCAGTGTACACAGCGACCAGCCTGTCTCACAGCAACCTGCATTCCCCCAGTCCCAGCACACAGACCCCCCAGCCATCAGCCATCCTTTCACCCTGCTCCTACACCACCGCGGTCTGCAGCCCTCCTGTACAGAGCCCTCTGGCCGCTCGAACTTTCCACTATGCCTCCCCCACCGCCTCCCAGCTGTCACTCATGCAACAGCAGCCTCAGCAGCAGGTACAGCAGTCCCAGCCGCCGCAGACTCAGCCACAGCAGCCGTCCCCGCAGCCACAGACACCTGGCAGCTCCACGCCGAAAAACGAAGTGCACAAGAGCACGCAGGCGCTTCACAACACCAACCTGACCCGGGAAGTCAGGCCCCTCTCCGCCTCACAGCCCTCGCTGCCCCATGAGGTGTCCACTCTGATTTCCAGACCTCATCCCACTGTGGGCGAGTCCCTGGCCTCCATCCCTCAACCCGTGACGGCGGTCCCCGGAACGGGCCTTCAGGCAGGGGGCAGGAGCACTGTCCCGCAGCGCGTCACCCTCTTCCGACAGATGTCGTCGGGAGCCATCCCCCCCAACCGAGGAGTCCCTCCAGCACCCCCTCCACCAGCAGCTGCTCTTCCGAGAGAGTCTTCCTCAGTCTTAAACACAGACCCAGACGCAGAAAAGCCACGATTTGCTTCAAATTTATGATCCCTGCTGATTGTCAAAGCAGAAAGAAATACTCTCATAAACTGAGACTATACTCAGATCTTATTTTATTCTATCTCCTGATAGATCCCTCTAGCCTACTATGAAGAGATATTTTAGACAGCTCTGGCCTACACGTGAAGTGTAAAATATATATACATATACTATAAAATATATATCTAAATTCTCAAGAGAGGGTCAAAAGACCTGTTTAGCATTCAGTGTTATATGTCTTCCTTTCTTTAAATCATTAGAGGATTTAAAATGTTGTTGTAAGATTATTTATTTCTAACCTACTTTTACTTAAGTCCTTTGATATGTATATTTCTCTATTTTATGAAGAGTTCTTGGATTCAATGGAAACAAAACTGATCTTTAAAAAGGCAACTCAAATGAGCTAGCAAATAGCACCAATCAAAACTTTCTTTCATTAGCTGTGACTGTGCATCTAAATTGTTAATCATTAATCATGAAGAATTAAATAACAAATCCCATTTTATAGATCTAAATTGTATTTCGGTGCTTTCAATTTCGAATTAGGTTAAAGACTGCACTACTTGTTTGGCCACTGTAGGAGACTAGCATTGCCACTGTTAAGAATATCACTAACCTCCTACTTCGGAGGCTGAGGCAGGAGAATGGCTTGAACCCAGGAGGCGGAGCTTGCAGTGAGCAGAGATAGCGCCACTGCACTCGAGCCTGGGCGACAGAGTGAGACTCCGTCTCAAAAAAAAAAAAAAAAAAAGAAAAAAAAAAGAAAAAAAGAAAAGAGTATCACTAACCTCAAACATGTTCATTGATCTTTCAGAAAGCTGAGGGAAAATTAATATTTGTCTTCATGTGTTATCGGACTTTTACCAAGACTCGATCAATGTTAGTTGTAAATAACTTTTTCAACCCAAATAAAAATAGCTATTCTGTGTTGTATGAAGCTAAAAGTCATTGTTTAAGAGTTTAGTTTTATTGCTTCACTTCAAAACTTAGAGTTTTAAATTTCACAAAATCTGATTGTGAGAATTATTCAATTGTAATGCAATGGCTTGAAACCTACAATATTATTTTAACCTGCAATGTTTTATGCAAAATTGTATGCTCGAATCTACAACTTGCTTGTATTACACCAAAAATCATTATTTTTCTTTCTTCTTGCCATAATCAAGCATCTGAAAATAGTCCCTGCATGCTTCTGGGGGAAAAAAAAAATAGGTTCAAATCAGCCATTGTAGGGAAAGGCTTACAGTATTTCTCGTTTCTAGAAAAGCATAACAATTCATTAATTGCCTCTCTTATAATTCCTATAAGGCTGACTTGGATCTCTGACTTAAGTCTAGAAGTGAGGTTTTCACTTTTATTTAATATTATTGCTATTATTATTTAAATAATTATTTGTAAACCACAGCTTGATTTGGAGTTAAGTATTGTCTATGTCTTCACTGTAGCTGGTAATTTACTATGGTGTTAATTTAAAGAAATAAATTCAATACAGCATCACGTCTGTTTGGGAACACACATTTTGCTCTATGTATATTGTAACTAAATGGTTAGTAAACTTAAGGCATGTGGTGACTAATGTAGCCCTTAGATAGGAGGTTTGTCATTTTTAATGTGTTGAAAATAGTACAGACATGGTGGCAGAAAGCAGGGGTAAAGTTGAATGTCTGTGAGCATTGTTTGTCTGTTTTCTTAACTCTTTCCATGATCTGTGAGCACCTGCTTCTTCTCAAAGAACTCCCTTAGTAATCATTTGTGCCTAATGCATCCCACACATGTGGCGTATGACTGGAACACAATTGAAAGATACCTAATAACTGGCTTCTGTAAATAACCCAAGTTAACAGCATGACGTAAGTGTAGGTCTTCAGTATCTCTGGCATTGGCAATACATTTAAGAACATACAGAGATTACACATTATATGGGGCAGGGCCTGCAGATAGACTTGAGGACAGAAAACAAAAACAAAAGCAAAAACTCTAAAGTGAATCCTTGCTGCCTGTTATGCCTTTTGCGGATATAATACCTATAATACCCAAATGAGTTGTTATGTTTAATTTCAAACAAATACCAATTTGTGTGGAAGTAATTAACAATGCTAGTTAATGTAATGTAATCATCAGTATGCTGGTGACATATGATGGCATGTCAGGAATACTGTTGTAAGAAAGGGATTGTTCAGTCTACCTAGAACCTATGGGAAAGCTGCAAGACCATTTACATATCAGTACAAAACTCCTTTATTTTATTAAAATATGAGAGTTAACTTCAATTTATTAAGAGTATGTATTGGTCCTTTAAATTATTAAAGGTTTACATTTGATAGGATTAATGGATTTGGTAGTGAAATATTTTTATATGTATAAATTTTTGGTTTTTTATTTTGAGCACTATTGGGAAAAATAAGCAAAATTGAAATGCATGGTCTTTCAGTGCAACCATACAATTTTTATTCACTTTGTAATAGAATGGACAAAAAAACTAAGGTTTATATGTTAAACTAATAAAATGGTACAGGGTAAATTATATACATATATGTATGAATGTATATATACTTAGATTAAGAAAAAAAATGACTCACATTCCTGTAATATAAAGGTCCATTGCTAGTTGAAAAGTGACCTCTTTTCTCTGTACATAGTGAAGCCTGTATGTATGGAGTTTTAATCTGTACAGAAAGAAATGTATTATTGATTGGTCTTTCTCCTGCTGGGAAGATAATAGAATAGCTTATTCTTACAACAATTGTATGATCAGGGATGAGTTAGAGTATTTCTTTTGTCTTTGCTCAAAGCCATACATATATAAATATATATAAAGATTATTAATAAATTCAACAAAAAATAAACTACAATCATGAATATTTTATTTTATCAATATATGCTAATCAAATGTTTTATTTTATTAACGAATACAGCTTTGCCTCTATTTTTACATCACAAAATTTCCAAGAGCTTATACTTGATAATCACATAAAATAATTATATTTTATAATTCTGGAATAAGCAGACTTTAAATGGAACATGGATTTTTCAACCACTTCTCTGTTTCACCCTTTACATATAGTAAAATATGAGCTTATTTTCTTTTTCACTCTGTGCCTTTTTAGAATGTGGTTGTTCTCCAACGTCAAAACACAGCCATTTTATGTAATTATTGGATATACGGATGAGAAATAATTTTCCTGTAATAGTAAATAATTGTCCTGTAATATATTTATACAAACCTATTTTGTTATAATAGTTCTATAACATACCAATTTTGTTATAATAGTTTTATAGCATACCTATTTTGTTATAATAGGGCCTTGTGCTCTATTATAACAAAACAGGTTTATGTAAATATATTCATATTTATAGCCTTAAACAAAATAGGTTTGTATAGTACGCCCAAAGCCCTATTATAACAAAATAGGTTTGTATAAATATATTCATATTTATAGCCTTGGGCCCTGCAAAGGTATTTGGATAGTGATAGAACCTCCCCATACAACTGTGTTTTAAATGATACCTAAAAGCCTGAGATACAGTTTATCATAATGAGAATAAGTAGTGAAGCATTCCTGAAAACAAGGGTGATAAATAGTAGCGATGGCAATATATTCTATTCACCAAAAAAAATAGCTTGTCTCCAAGTCTGGTTGACCTCTTCATAAGTGAATGATTCCCTGATGAATGCTGTTCCACTTTAAAGAGATGGTTATTTTGCGATTTATAAACTTAAATGAGTATACTATTTTCAGGACACTACAAAGTACATAGGCAAGTTATTACCGTCATTCCTATAGGACATGGAATGATTTAAACAATATGGCATGTTTACAATTTTAGGCGATTTATTTCAAATCCTGAATTATGTGTACTTCAAATTATGAGCAATCTCTCTTATCTTTCAAGACTATTTAAAAAATCTCCATACCTCCTCTTTCAGCTTAGGTTTTTATATTTGTTGATTTTACTATGTCACTTTGCTTCTATGGCCCTCATTTGCACCGTTTATAATGTTAAGCTGTTTGAATGAGATATCTCTCCATTATATCTTTATCTTTTTAGAACATGTGCCATAAAACCCATGTGGTTATTTTGTTCATATGTACTACAACTAGCAAACTTTTATTATTATATGTTCACCTACTTTAAAAATTACTTATACTGTACCATGGGAAAGAAACATGGTCCTTATAGAATTGAATGCTGAGCTATTTTGAGTCCTGAAAAGAATGGCCAAAAATTTAAGGAACTGTGATTGCTGCATGCACCAAATTGTAGCACATTTCTATAACTGTATTCAATATGGTTATTGTCAAGGAAAACTAGGATAGAAATTTTCTTTGAAAGATTTGCTGTTGTACTTAGGTAAGTATATCTGCTTTTACCACTCAAAAACAATTACTTTCTTAAGCAATTTCAATTTTTTCCTTTTTAACAACCCTGCACTTGCACAACCCTGCCTCTCTTGCCTCACCCTAATCCTGACCCTGCTTTCAATTCAGGCTTTGACAGGGACCAATGGAGATTTTAAGGTTTTTTAATGAGAGAAGCCTTGCTGACATTCCCCCCGTCCCACCTTGAAAATTGCTTAAAGATTATCTTAAAAGAACCTACAGATAATGCTCTGAATGTGTTTCCAAGGTCCTTGATGTGGAGAGAATGAGTTATATTAAATGCTGGAGAAAGAATTATCATTTAGTGAAAAATTAAACATGCTTTTCTAAAATGTGGATGTTTAACAGAGCACAGCTGATTGGGAACACGGGCAGTTCAGTGCAGCTGGAGTGTCTCACAGGGTGAAGAGGAACCCAGATCAAGTGGGGAATAGGGATTTCAAAAACCTTCTGAAAGGCTTTTAACATCAGGGCAAAAGTTTTACAGTGTTATACTTTATATTCTTAATTTAAACTTATCAGCGGGAAGGATTCACATTGAAATGTCTGTTTTGCTCATGTAACAAGGAATAAAATAATTTATTTTATTATTTAAAATAATAAGAGCAAAAACTGGCGGCTATTTGCAATCTCACCCTGCCTTGTGAGGATGCTGGGTCTTAAGGAAGGTCCTAGGATTGCTAAATAGAGTAATGGGAATAGGAAACTGAAAGTTTACTTGCTTTGCATAAGATAAGGAATATATTGCAGCAGGGAAGGGGTACAAGAAGATAAGAGCTAGAAGAACCTGTGAGAAGGGAAAGAAGTGACAAACTAATTTTGGCTAAAATAAAGCAATTTCTCAGGTCAGGCGTGGTGGCTCATGCCTGTAATCCCAACGCTTTGGGAGGCC